TACAGCAAAGCCAACTGTAGCTCAATAACTTACAAATACAATCGCGCTGGTTCTTGGCGAGCTCAAATCCTGGCCGGCAGTCGCACGCTACTCCTCCTTTCGGTGTCTCCCGGCAGATGTGGCCGCAGCCGTGTTCCCTGTTCATGCAGCTCAGACCCTCTGAAAGATACAAGACAAAGATCAGCCCTGAGGAATAAAGGAAGACAAAGGATACCAGGTATCATAATGGAGCATTGCTGCTGGAGGTCTCTGCTCCTTCCTCTATAACTCTCCTCTCCTGAGATACTCTGCTCTGCTGGAGGACTCTGCTCCTTCCTCTATAACTCTCCTCTCCTGAGATACTCTGCTCTGCTGGAGGACTCTGCTCCTTCCTCTATAACTCTCCTCTCCTGAGATACTCTGCTCTGCTGGAGGACTCTGCTCCTTCCTCTATAACTCTCCTCTCCTGAGATACTCTGCTCTGCTGGAGGACTCTGCTCCTTCCTCTATAACTCTCCTCTCCTGAGATACTCTGCTCTGCTGGAGGACTCTGCTCCTTCCTCTATAACTCTCCTCTCCTGAGATACTCTGCTCTGCTGGAGGACTCTGCTCCTTCCTCTATAACTCTCCTCTCCTGAGATACTCTGCTCTGCTGGAGGACTCTGCTCCTTCCTCTATAACTCTCCTCTCCTGAGATACTCTGCTCTGCTGGAGGACTCTGCTCCTTCCTCTATAACTCTCCTCTCCTGAGATACTCTGCTCTGCTGGAGGACTCTGCTCCTTCCTCTATAACTCTCCTCTCCTGAGATACTCTGCTCTGCTGGAGGACTCTGCTCCTTCCTCTATAACTCTCCTCTCCTGAGATACTCTGCTCTGCTGGAGGACTCTGCTCCTTCCTCTATAACTCTCCTCTCCTGAGATACTCTGCTCTGCTGGAGGACTCTGCTCCTTCCTCTATAACTCTCCTCTCCTGAGATACTCTGCTCTGCTGGAGGACTCTGCTCCTTCCTCTATAACTCTCCTCTCCTGAGATACTCTGCTCTGCTGGAGGACTCTGCTCCTTCCTCTATAACTCTCCTCTCCTGAGATACTCTGCTCTGCTGGAGGACTCTGCTCCTTCCTCTATAACTCTCCTCTCCTGAGATACTCTGCTCTGCTGGAGGACTCTGCTCCTTCCTCTATAACTCTCCTCTCCTGAGATACTCTGCTCTGCTGGAGGACTCTGCTCCTTCCTCTATAACTCTCCTCTCCTGAGATACTCTGCTCTGCTGGAGGACTCTGCTCCTTCCTCTATAACTCTCCTCTCCTGAGATACTCTGCTCTGCTGGAGGACTCTGCTCCTTCCTCTATAACTCTCCTCTCCTGAGATACTCTGCTCTGCTGGAGGACTCTGCTCCTTCCTCTATAACTCTCCTCTCCTGAGATACTCTGCTCTGCTGGAGGACTCTGCTCCTTCCTCTATAACTCTCCTCTCCTGAGATACTCTGCTCTGCTGGAGGACTCTGCTCCTTCCTCTATAACTCTCCTCTCCTGAGATACTCTGCTCTGCTGGAGGACTCTGCTCCTTCCTCTATAACTCTCCTCTCCTGAGATACTCTGCTCTGCTGGAGGACTCTGCTCCTTCCTCTATAACTCTCCTCTCCTGAGATACTCTGCTCTGCTGGAGGACTCTGCTCCTTCCTCTATAACTCTCCCCTCCTGAAATACTCTGCTCTGCCGGAGGACTCTGCTGCTTCATCTATAACTCTCCTCTCCTGAAATACTCTGCTCTGTTGGAGGACTCTGCTCCCTCCTCTATAACTCTCTCCTCTCCTGATATCCTCGGCTCTGCTGGAGGACTCTCCTCCTTCCTCTATAACTCTCTCCTCTCCTGATATCCTCGGCTCTGCTGGAGGACTCTCCTCCTTCCTCTATAACTCTCTCCTCTCCTGATATCCTCGGCTCTGCTGGAGGACTCTCCTCCTTCCTCTATAACTCTCTCCTCTCCTGATATCCTCGGCTCTGCTGGAGGACTCTCCTCCTTCCTCTATAACTCTCTCCTCTCCTGATATCCTCGGCTCTGCTGGAGGACTCTCCTCCTTCCTCTATAACTCTCTCCTCTCCTGATATCCTCGGCTCTGCTGGAGGACTCTCCTCCTTCCTCTATAACTCTCTCCTCTCCTGATATCCTCGGCTCTGCTGGAGGACTCTCCTCCTTCCTCTATAACTCTCTCCTCTCCTGATATCCTCGGCTCTGCTGGAGGACTCTCCTCCTTCCTCTATAACTCTCTCCTCTCCTGATATCCTCGGCTCTGCTGGAGGACTCTCCTCCTTCCTCTATAACTCTCTCCTCTCCTGATATCCTCGGCTCTGCTGGAGGACTCTCCTCCTTCCTCTATAACTCTCTCCTCTCCTGATATCCTCGGCTCTGCTGGAGGACTCTCCTCCTTCCTCTATAACTCTCTCCTCTCCTGATATCCTCGGCTCTGCTGGAGGACTCTCCTCCTTCCTCTATAACTCTCTCCTCTCCTGATATCCTCGGCTCTGCTGGAGGACTCTCCTCCTTCCTCTATAACTCTCTCCTCTCCTGATATCCTCGGCTCTGCTGGAGGACTCTCCTCCTTCCTCTATAACTCTCTCCTCTCCTGATATCCTCGGCTCTGCTGGAGGACTCTCCTCCTTCCTCTATAACTCTCTCCTCTCCTGATATCCTCGGCTCTGCTGGAGGACTCTCCTCCTTCCTCTATAACTCTCTCCTCTCCTGATATCCTCGGCTCTGCTGGAGGACTCTCCTCCTTCCTCTATAACTCTCTCCTCTCCTGATATCCTCGGCTCTGCTGGAGGACTCTCCTCCTTCCTCTATAACTCTCTCCTCTCCTGATATCCTCGGCTCTGCTGGAGGACTCTCCTCCTTCCTCTATAACTCTCTCCTCTCCTGATATCCTCGGCTCTGCTGGAGGACTCTCCTCCTTCCTCTATAACTCTCTCCTCTCCTGATATCCTCGGCTCTGCTGGAGGACTCTCCTCCTTCCTCTATAACTCTCTCCTCTCCTGATATCCTCGGCTCTGCTGGAGGACTCTCCTCCTTCCTCTATAACTCTCTCCTCTCCTGATATCCTCGGCTCTGCTGGAGGACTCTCCTCCTTCCTCTATAACTCTCTCCTCTCCTGATATCCTCGGCTCTGCTGGAGGACTCTCCTCCTTCCTCTATAACTCTCTCCTCTCCTGATATCCTCGGCTCTGCTGGAGGACTCTCCTCCTTCCTCTATAACTCTCTCCTCTCCTGATATCCTCGGCTCTGCTGGAGGACTCTCCTCCTTCCTCTATAACTCTCTCCTCTCCTGATATCCTCGGCTCTGCTGGAGGACTCTCCTCCTTCCTCTATAACTCTCTCCTCTCCTGATATCCTCGGCTCTGCTGGAGGACTCTCCTCCTTCCTCTATAACTCTCCTCTCCTGAAATACTCTGCTCTGCTGGAGGACTCTGCTATGGACGGGTGATCTCTGGAGATTATAAAGCAATGCAATCTTTTAGCTTTTTGGAAAATCAGCATTTTTTTTTGGTATTCTGTGGTAGGTGAGAACCCCAAATTCAATCCATGAAATAAATTCTCAGCTCTCCATCTGCCAGGATAAACGTGAGGCCGATATTATGAGGTTGGCTTGCTTAGGCTGCAGGCTTAACACTGACCCCCCTCACCCTTTACATTGAAACATTGTTTCCAATTGGAAAGGCGATCCAACTCCACGAATTAGGAATAAAACCGATTCCTTGCCTGTGCACCCCTCAAGCCGTCTTACAGACATTTAAGAAGCTGCTACAACGTGACTACTCTCAGGACGAGCCGGCCGTCTGTGTATCCAGGGCGGCCGCAGCTTGACAAGCTGGAAAAAGTGGAAGTTGATGTTGGCTTGCGGACGCAGGGAAAAAATAGCTGGGAACTCGTATATATTAATATTGCGGGTTTATTAAAATCCCTCTGGAGGACCTTCCAGCAAATCTGCGCAACAGGAGAAAAAAAAAAAAAAAAAAATGATGGTGAAATTGAAGACAAAGTTCTAACAGCCTATAAAATAAAGACTTTGGTGCAGCTCGCCGAGGCCTCTGGGTTTTGTGCGGCTTCGCAGTCAGGAGGTCGAAAGTTGAGAATCTGCGGCAGGTCTCCGACATGAGGTGACGACTCAGCGAGTCAGACGGGACTAAAGACGGGGGAGGAGCCAACATGGAAGGGCGACAAACCTCCGCACATAATCGCCATCATTTTATAGCGGACTACAATCTCAGTACAAATCAGTAAACTAAACCTGAGATTGTAGTCCATCCCGGGGGGAGGGGTGGGGGAGGCTTGTAGCGGTGACTACTTTACAACACACACAGGGACCATGGGGAACAGACGTAGCCCCCCTCCAGAAGAAAGGACAGTGTCAGAGATGATTGGAGGATCTACAGCCAAGTGACACACAAATAAGATACATTGTTGCTCAGAGTTCAGGGACTTGGATGTAATTTTAAGTTCGAACTCCGGAGTTTAGTGTCACTTTAACTGGAATTAAAACTACTTTGTTGCATGTACGTTGCCATTCGAGGAACACCAGACGCTGACCCATGGGACTATGTGGGCCGAGTATCTGAGTTCCATCCACTATGGAATCCTTGCAGTGTCTCAGGGAAAGAGAAGGAGGGAAATATACAACACAGGCTTGTGATTGGAAGCTGCAGACTTGCATAGAAGTGAATGTCACCATTGCATTAAACTGCTGTGACACCTCCAGATAGTAGAAGCCATTTAGCCTCGAAATCCTCACAATTGTCCCAAAACCACACAAGCTTTCAAAGCCCTAATGAAGAGGGACACTTGCAACCCCCCGAAATACGTTGGTAACATCTTATGTCATCTCGTTCACAGACGTAAGAGAGTATATTCTATGGTGATGGTTACATTGTTTCCATTATTATTATTATTATACAGGATTTATAAAGCGCCAACAGTTTGTGCAGCGCTTTACAATATAAGGAAGACATTACAATTACAATACAATTCAAGACGAGATGGTGAGGGCCCTGCCCCTGAGGGCTTACAATCTAAAACGGAGGGGCCAGTGATACATGAGGAGGTAGCTGTGGGGAGATGAATGGTTGAGCGGTTAGGTTGAGGTGGGATCGGCTTCCCTGAAGAGATGAGTCTTAAGGGATCGCCTAAA